CATTGTCTTCGGTTTTCTGACAACTTTTTCACCCTGCTCCAGGTCTGTCCACATGCTTTCATCTCCTCCTCGCATGACCTCCTCCAAGTCACCCTTGGACGACCAACTCGCCGCCTCCCTTTCGGGTTCCACTCGAGGGCTTGTCTAGTGATGTCACTTGATGGTTTCCTCAGCGTATGGCCAATCCATCTCCATTTCTTTCTGCCTATTTGTTTCACAATCGGTTCCTGATTGGTTCGCTCCCAGAGATCCCTGTTGCTGATCTTTTCTGGCCATCTGATCTTGAGTATTGAGCGGAGACAGCTGTTAATGAAGGTTTGAAGTTTGTTTGAGATGCTCTTTATGACTCGCCAAGTCTCTGATCCGTATAGTAGCACTGACTTCACATTGGAGTTGAAAATCCGGATCTTATTTTTGATGCTGAGTGCTGTTGACCTCCACACAGATTTGAGAGTAATGAAAGCTTGTCTTGCTTTTCCGATTCTGGCTTTGATGTCCTCGTCAGTTCCGCCTGTAGTTGAGACGATGCTTCCCAGGTAGGTGAAGGAGGTTGTTTCTTTCAGGTTCTTCCCACTTATGCTGATTGTTGTCTGTTGTTGTTGCTGCTGTTGATGTTGGCTAGGAATCTTCATCACCTCTGTTTTATCTATGTTCACTTGAAGTCCTATCTTTGATGCTTCTTCTGCCAACTTGTTACTTTTCACTTGCATATCTTCCAGTTTATGGGAAATCAGACATATATCATCGGCGAAATCCAGATCCTCCAAGTCTTTTGTGTCAGTCCATTTTATACCTGTTCCCTCGTTGGTTGCCGTTGTCTGTCGCATTATCCAATCAATTGCAATCAGGAAGATCATTGGTGATAGTAGACAGCCTTGCCTCACTCCCGTCCTCACTTCGAAGGCTTCCGTAAGTTTCCCGTTGTGGATTACTTGGCATGCAGCATTGTCGTATAACTGTTGGATGAGGTGTATAATTGTCGATGGGACCCCGTAGTAGCGAAGTAGTTTCCAAATGACCTCTCGATCGACGCTGTCGAAGGCCTTTTCAAAGTCGATGAAGTTGAGAGAGAGAGGTGACTGCCATTCCAAGCTTTGTTCAATGATGATCCGTAGAGTGGCGATTTGATCAATACATGATTTGTTTCTCCTGAATCCGGCCTGTTCCGGACGAAGTTTTTCATCCAGGTGGCTTGTTTGATTCTCTCCAGGATGATGCGACTTAGTATCTTGCTTGGAATGGACAGAAGCATAATTCCACGCCAGTTTTTACATTGACTTAAGTCTCCTTTCTTTGGTAGTTTGAATAAGTATCCGTTCTTCCAATCCTCGGGTACTTTGCCCTCTTTCCACACCTTCTCCAGCAGTGGCGTCATCAAGTCCGCTGTTGTCTCTGGGTCTATTTTCAAAGCTTCTGCTGGGATTCCATCTGGTCCCGGTGTTTTCCCAGCTTTAAGCATCTTGATTGTATTCAGGACTTCTGATTTCGTCGGGGGGTCAGTGTTCACTGGTAGTTCTGCTTCCGTTGTTGGTATTGTTGGGCGCGTTGTAGGTGGCGGACGATTTAGAAGTCTTTTGAAGTGTTCAGCCCAGTGCTTTTTCTGTTCCACCTCTTTGGTGATTGACTTTCCATTGTCTTAGATATAACAATAATAATCTACTTTATTCCAAAACAGTACAGAGTGGAATTTTCAGCATTTGTCACAATATCTTGCATCTGATTTACTTAAAATATAAATAGAATTAAAAATTAAAACAAAATTGACCAGAGAAATTTGTCCACGTTTACGATGTAAAGTCAAAAATATTAGAAGTACGAATTGAGAATATTAAATATAATAATAAGAATACTAATAATAGTGAGTTTGTTTCAAACAGTATTGCCGACTCAATTAGGAAATTTTAGCGTGTTAAAGACTATTGAATCTAATGTTCTGTCGATGTAGCATAGTGAGGGGAAATACAAAATTAACAGTTCTAACACAGCTTAAATGATGTTGTCACACTTATGAGAAAATAAATAAATAAAAACAAAATATTGAGAGGATTATAAGTATAAGAAATAAAATAATAATAATAAAGTTTGAAGTTGTAAGGGTGGAGGAAATGGTTTATTTACTAGTGCAAAGAAGGTTAGTTAGTTAGTTCGTGCCTGAAACTATTTTCACTACACAAAGTACGTGCCAAATAGAGTATAGTGAAATTTGTATACTTTGACGTACGTGCATAAAGTCTTCTGAAAAGACTTCTTGTTTTACCTGAGGCGGAGACATAAAGTCGGAGCTGGGGTAAAGTGGGTGCTCAGAGTCTAACAAAATTCCTCTAGAAAATTTGTTGCCTGACATCAAGTGCCTATCATTATTGACGATATCAACGATATTGCCCGATTGGATATCACTCGTTTTATTGACAGTCTTCAGAGTTCTACGTAGTATGACATTTAGGGAAGAATAAGGGTGAGCAGCAAAGAAGAATAGGTAAGATTCACGAGTTGACAAACTGTAAGATGAGAAGGGTTTGAGTTATCCCTGAGTGCCTTAACTTCTTAATGTAAAAAGTCAGACGAAGTATTCTTTTCGAAATCACTATGACATGAGAAGAGCAGGATAGATCAGAAGAAAGAATTAATCCAAGACACTCAACATCTGACTTGGTTTCTACAAAGCTATCATCAATTTTGCAACACTCATAAGAACTAACAGCTTGATTTAACTTTCTTTTACATCGGAAACTGAAATTTACAGTTGGACATTTGAAAAGGTTTAGTTTAAGACCATAAGACGAAGACCATTATGCTGACTCCTGATGCGAAACTGTTCATCTTAGTACAGTCTAGCTGGGAGTTAACATGCATTGAAATAGTTAGATCGTCGATATACTTAACAAATTGCATTTCATCAGAGTGAGGCAAGGCATGCAAGAAGAAAAAAACTGAACAGGAGAAAGAACAGAGCCTTGAGGAACACCAGCCTCAGTAAGCAAGGAAGTGCACGACTTCTCTTGGCCTACAGTGTACTGCATTCTTCCTGAGAAATTAGAATGCGGCCATTTGACAGTTCAGCAGTAAGTTTGAGTTTCCACAAGATTATTTAACAAAATATCTCTAGTTACTGAGTGGAAAGCAGATGTATAATCTAGGAAGGTGCAGCGAACAAATTTACTCCCCCCTTGTCTAAACTGGAGACAATGTTATGATGCAAGATTGCAGCTGCATCTAAAGTACCTCCACTATGTTTGTAGGTGAACTGTTTTGGAATCGTTAAGGGGTATAAGTGAAGGCTGAAGATTAAGTGGGACAAACTTTTCCATAGTTTTTAGAAAAGGTGAGGAGACTTAGATATAGGTACAGTTTTAATTTCTTTGTGAAATGATATCAATCAGACAGTTACTGAAAACTTGGGATGAAGAGGATTGCTACCCTATCCTATTTGTGTGCATCCCAGCAGGGCACACCAACGACCCTTAGTACAACCGAGCAAATGACCTTTTGGTGTTACGGGGCAAGCTCAGACTTCTTTCATTTCTCAATGCTACTAACCTATGCTACTAGTAGGTATCTGTCATTACACAGAATATGATGAATTACATCAGTCGCGACCTTAAGTAAGATTCCAAGAAATACTTCAGTTCAATGATGGTCACCACTCAGTGTGAGAATTATATTTGTAGTTTAAAGTAAAGGTATCTGTCAGCAAACTCTTTTTATTGGTCGCTTTCTGAAATTAGTATAGTCAGTAGATAGATTCCTTTGGTTAACATAAGGTTTTAAGAAGTAAATATCTGATTTTGAAGATGATTGACGAAAAGCCTTGGACTACATCTCTGAAGCGTCTTCGATTATAAAATTACAAAACCTCGTTAATTCTGATAAGAAGTGTTATCTAACCCAGTTGAAGGTGGTAATCAATACTCGCCAAGAACACGAGTAAGAGTAACTCCCCGTTTGCAGCGTTTTCTAAACAATAATCAATTACGTAGTATTATTATCTTCACAAGCTGCTGAAACGATTTAGCTGGAACTAGAACACCTTTCCATTGTGTCACCACTGTTTTACTGCACGCTGAAAAAAATTCTCTAGTAAACTGGCCTCTATAGACGACGTAAGTTCAAGCGTTAAGTCGCAGCTTTCATGGTTGACTTACACTACTCACTATTGACTAATTATGAATTAAGTCTCCCGAGGTTCGAATATGGATTAGCAACCACTGGATTTTAAGAATTCGGGATTGCATTGGTTAGCGGCAAGTGGGCAGAATTGACAAGACACTGGATTTTAACTAAGTGTCTAAACAGCTAACCGGATTTCCTCGTAGCCTTATAATTCTGTGTAGATACGCATTACTGATGGGTTTCAAGAAGATACGGAACAACTACCCAATTCTTACTGACTTTAACTGTTTCTCTGGATGATATCGTTTGTTGACGAAATTTGCATTGAAAATAACCTCATTAATTCAAAAGAAATGTTTGTCTACACCATCTGATATTGAGTCTATCACAATCTATGGTGATTTCAATAAACTCGTCAGAGAACACTATCATTTTATCTCAGATTCTATTATTAGTAACTGGTCGGCAAGAAGGCCAAACAAATGTCTCTAACACAATGAGAGTTCCATGATTATGGTGAAATTATATGTTTCAACTGAAATTAAGCCACTGAGACCCTTCCAGCCTGGTGTTCTAACCCCAGTGGGTGTGTTCTGCTAAAAATAGTCACAAGCTAGGACAAAACAGCTCTCCAGTACTTCCAGCTAGCTTTCCAATGGTTGTCTAACTGATGTTTGCTCATGATGAAATTCTTCGACCAAACAAAAAATAGGTGAAGTTACTTAATCTGACCTCTTCCCGCAAAGCTCCAACATCGTTCACAACTTCGTGTAGTTTAGAGTATGAGAAGGGGGATAATATAGCGAATAGATTTAAATGTAAGGAAAGCATGACACTTCAAGTAATCGCTCTGCTTCATTTACAACAAATCTTCAAAGCAGTAACAAAAATGAAAAAGGGACTTGTTTTATTACATCTGCATTACTTATTAAATTATTAATTTAACAATGGTTTACAAATTTTATACTGATAAACACATGTTTCGCTTTAATAATTATGTATTAAGTAGATCATGAAATCAAATATGCATTGAAAAAAATTGATTTAATTTGAGAGAAAATTGAAGTGTCGTAGGAAAAAGAAACTCAAGCTAATCAGACATCTTTACATCCATGCAAAGTGGTCTAGAGTAATTCTCTCCTCATACTTTGCCAACTTCAAACAGATTCCTGAAAATGAAAAAGGTAAAGAAACAGATCAGAGGAAAAGTTTGAGGTTCTTTTTTATTTCATTAGAACTTCGAGTATATTACACATTTGAACAAGAAGTATACAAATTGGGTAGTGAACCGACATCAGCTGAAGAACCAAGCATACAAAGCTACGGAGTACGAAATAGATGTCTCGCCACTGTAATTCTGAAGCTGTTAATCAGTGCACACACAAAATCGCACCGAGGATATTTCAAGATAAGCTCGTTGATCATTCAGCCACTTAGATGTAATCAGATGGCCCAAGTATCTTTATTTCATTAGATGTCAACGTGAGTATTTGTTCTCTTGAACAATGTGGTAGCCTCCATAGGTCATGAATTCCCATTGGAACTCCAGGTTAATTCATCCTGTCGCCATTGAGCATTACAATAATTTTTAAGTGTAGCTTTCTTGAAAGGTCCCACCACTGCTGAAACCATCGCATTTTGGCTTGCTCAATTCAGGTAATACCATTTTAACCGAAGCTTTCAGTAGTCAGACCGAATTCCAACGGATTTCTAGGCTAACAGACATTTCAACTTTGTTGAGATTACTTGAGAATCGCCAAATTTAAATGCATCTTAGAACTGTTCAGGTATGTATATGAGACCATTGTTTATAACTATTTTTATTATTTCCTTTAATTCCTAGAGGAACATAGGGCTTCAGCCGCACATCTTCATTGCGTTCGGTTCTCTGCTAAAGTTCTCACCTGGATCCAAGTCTCCCCACATGTTTTCATCTCCTCTTCACATTACCTCTTTCAAATCACCCTTGGACGACCAACTCGCCGCTTCCCTTTCGGGTTCCACTCGAGCAATGGCTTGTCTAGTGATGTCACTTGATGGTTTCCACAGAGTATGGCTAATCCATCTCCATTTCTTCCTGCCTATTTGTTTCACAATTGGTTCCTGGTTAGTTTGCTCTCAGAGATCCCGGTTTCTGATCTTTTCTGGCCATCTGATCATGAGTAGTATTGAGCTAAAACACTTAGCTGTTGATGAAGGTATGAAGTTTGTTAGAGGTGCTCTTTATGACGCGCCAAGTCTCTGATCCGAATAGTGGCATTGACTTCACACTGAAGTTGAAAATCCGGATCTTATTTTACATGCTAAGTGATGAGTGTTCATATTCACACAGACTGGAGAGTAACGAAAGTTTGCCTTACCTTCCTGATCCTTGCTTTAATATCCTTGTCAGTTCCGCTTGTAGTTGAAACGATGCTTCCTACGAAGTGTAGGTAAAGGAGGTTGCTTCCTTCAGATTACTCCCATTTAAGGTGATGTTACCTGCTGTTGGTGCTGTTACTGTTGACCAGGAATCTCCAACACCTCTGTTTTCCTTATGTTTACTTAAAGGCTTATCCTTGGTGCTTCTTCTGTCAACTTGTTGCCTTTCACTTGTTTATCATCCAGTTTGTGAGAAATCAGGCATTTATCATCGGCGAACTCCAGTTCTCCAAGTTTTTTTGTGTCGGCCCATTTTATGCCTGTCTTCTTGTTGCCCGCTGCCTGTCGCATTATCCAGTCTAGCGCCTTCAATCAGGAAAATCATTGGAGATAGTAGGCAGCCAGCCTTGTCTCACTCCTGTCCACACCTCAAGGGATTCCGTGAGTTTCTCGTTGTGGATTACTTGGCATGCAGCAGAATCGTACAAATGTTTGATGAGTTATATAGTTGTAGATGGCACCTGTAGTAGCGAAGTAGTTGCCAAATCCCCTCGCGATCGACGCTGTCTGCTGAAGGCCTTTTCAAAGTCGATGAAGTTAAGCGAGATAGAGAGGTGATTGCAATCTCAAGCTTTGTTCAATGATGATCCGTAGAGTGCCGATTTGTTTATACTCATCCTAAATTTATATAGTTCAGTATAAATACTGGTTCATTTGATTTCTCCAGTAGGATTTCACTGAACCCTATTGATACATTCCTAATGTCGTCAAATTTTGCCTATAACCTTAAAATTACTAAATTTTATTGTTAACAGGCACTCACTGAGCAACTTAAGTACACGTCAGGATCTGTATATTCAGTATCGCCACCGAACATTTTGTCTTTTGTTTGACATAAGAATAACTATCATATCAACGATCTGTTATTCACCTCGTTGGTGATTTGAGCATATATCATTCATTGCTGCAGTAAATGATGCTACCACTAAATATAACCGAACAGCTGCATGACATATCTATGACTGGATGTATGTACTTCCACTAATATAGTACTAACACTTAACCACTACAAGATAAATTTGTTTCTCACTAGTGGAAAAAGTCGAGTCAACTCAATGTCCACCACGATAGCAAGTCACCTAACTTGATGGCTGTATAGTAAACTTGACTAGAAGAATTACGTCCACAATAACACAGAGGACTAGACCCTATAAACGGATACGCTTAAACCACACAGTCATAAAGGAATAAAAATTGTGCAATGTAGCAGGATACAATTCCATCAAAGTATACTTCCTTCTGAATGCAACACGGGGTGACAAGCCTTCGGATACACAAAAGCATATTACTTACATGCAGGCTGAAGACACACCTTGCTAACAAATTTCACTTAGCTCGAAATCTTTGCCTCCAACCGCTTATCATCGATTCTATGTGACATCCCTAACACGTAAATATTGTTCACCTCTTGACAGATAATATCTGTTAGAGAGATTTTAAAATCAACTTTTTGATCTGACACTAGTAACTAGTATGATGTGTGGCCACATTACAGCCTGACTGATAGAATTCAGTCTGCACCAATCAGTGGACTAGACACATCACACGAGTTTCTAGTGTCAGATCAAAAATATCCACTACAGTCCTACAGGAGGTCAATCGCTGGCCCGAATAACTCAGTGGTGACGTCTCTGACTGCAGTACTCACTGAGTGACGCGTGTCCGAATCTCAGAAAGGAACATGAGCTCCTTTAAGGTTGCAGATGGGCCTCGCTGACGAGTGCCAACTAGCACGAAACCTAGGTGGTGTCCAGGGCTTCCTTCCGGTTGCTTTCAACCATCTTATAAAATCAGCTTTACTCAAATAGTTCGGAATGATCCGTGTCTCTTCATACACTGTCCAGGAGCTCAGCTCTTAACAAACTAAACAGTCATCCACTGCTTAGACCGCTCCGATCCGGCTAGTAATTATCATTTGTTGATATGAGTGGTATACAAACATTCACCTCAATCAACCAGTGGTATATAGTTTCACAACACCACCACCACCAACGACAACAAGGAACTATGGGAACAAACAAAACAAGAACCAACAAATATGCAGGAGTAAGTGGGGATGAACGGATTGGACACTACTCTCTGAGGATACCGGTGGGTGACATCGCGCGCGCGTCAGGCCATTGCTCAAGTGGAACCCGACAGAATGGGAAGCGGCGAGTGGGACGTCCGTGCAAGGGTGACATGTAGGAGGAGATCGTGTTAGTTGGAGGAGTTGAAACAGTATGGACTAACTAACATGGATGCAGGTGAAAAGTACAGCAGAAGACAGAAGTGGCAGGTGGAAACGTGCGGTTGAAGCCCTATGTTCCACTAGGAACCCAAGGGAATAATAATGTAGGTTTACACATTTATGCTTGTTTGCTTGACTACCATTTATAGCAACAGATAGATCACACATTATGGCCTAAATAATAAAAAACCCTCAAGTAAACTGTGGTGAAATCTCTCACCCAATGATTGTGTAAGTTACAGCCTGAGAATTTGATTTATCCTGTTATTTTACTCCATGTATCATAGGAATAATTCCCTACTCAGCAATACGTTCTATTACATATCTATGTTTGACTTTTTTGTTCGGCACAGGTATAATCGTTCAACCTTCACTCAGAACACGATTTTGCATTTTAACGATATACGAAGGATGTCACTGAAATTTACGTGAATAGGAAATATTTCTCTGCATTCATTCAGTATAATACATACGGTCCTCAGAACACATCTTTGTACTGATGATACAAATTAGACTAGTTATGATAATGATAATAATAATAATCACTGGTGCAAGTGTAATGAGCTTGGTGTATGGCCACGAGCGCCTTTTTTCGGTACAGCTTCAATCCGCCATGAATGAAACATTATGCAATGTTTTGTTCGTTATAATCAAGGAATCTTAACTTGAGCCTCATAACAACGATGCCAGTATTATCCTCATCATAATCTTTATTTTATTTTTTATTTTTTTGATTTACAGCTTGATTCCACACTGTATTTTCGGTACAAGTATGGAATTTTCAGCATGGATATCGGTAGCCCGAATTTCGCAGGCCGACCATAGATATCAGATGTGCGTCGGTGCGGGCTCGAACCCCGGACCATGTGCATGGTCGGCGAGAGTCCTAACCACTGTGCCACCGACGCACTATGAAAAGTGGTCAAAACTCTACGAGAAATTAATACTTAGACTATTTGGTATGTCTTTGGATTGATGAACTACTCGAGATGTTGTGGGTACAGTCATGGATGTGTGCTGATGGCGAATTTAACGTTGGGACAAAACCTTTTTCCATACACCATGGTATTCAATGTTTCTCTAAACGGTGTCAACTTGTGATAAGAACTAGTTAGTTTTCACTGAATTTGTAGTAAAATACTTGCACTGTCTTGGAATTCAAACCATTTGTTTTGAAGTCGCTGACGTTACATACTTAACCAACTGGATTGCGAGTTCCAGCTACTGAGAACTGAAGACATCAAGTAGGATGCTCAGTTGTAACATAAACTAAAGAGACCTAACTATCCACTTATTACCATACTAGTAAGTGAGAATATAAAACACTGTAAAAAGAATCACATTTTCATAAAAATTAATTGTTCTTACCACAATGAAAATATTTTACTAAAACAAGCGTGATGCAATGATAATTATATGTTGTTAATTAAGTTAAATATTTGAATTGTAATTAATATTAGGTCAATTGCATTGTAAACTTATATCAGTCGGATAAATATCGAAAACATGCAGCACTGGACACCATCACGGGGTAGTTTGAATTTGTGGGCATAAGATGTTTGGGGACGATTGGTATGAAACATTGGACCTTCGTCTTATGCTTGTTGACAAGCATCAATCAGTGAGGCGTATCTATCTACTTATTTATTTTTATTTTTGATTACAGCTTGATTCCACACTGTATTTTTAGTACAAGTATGGTATTTTCAGCACGTGATATCAGTAGCCCAAATTTTCCAGGCCGACCATAGAAATCAGGTGTGCGTCGACAGGTGATCGAACTTCGAACTATGTGCGTGGTCGGCGAGAGTCCTAACCACTGTGCCACCGACGCACAGAACCTTAAAGGCATTTATGTCCATTCCAAGATTTGAACGCTAGTTACTAACTAGTGTCCAATCAAAGTATCCAATACAGCCCTACAGGAGGTTATTCGTGAGCCCAAATAATGTAGGGGTGAAATCTTTGATGACGTCGAATTCGGATCTCAGATAGGACATGGTATCCTTCACGTTTGCTAGCCAGTGAGCACCAACAAGCATGAAACCGAAGTCTGAGGATTTCAGTAGACTGCCTTCAATAATCCAATAAAAACCCAACGCTTCTAAGGGACCACGTTCAAAGTGAATTTCTTGCTTTTAAGAAGAACCGGATATTTGTAGAAACAAGGCTGTCAACTCAGAGATGTTAAAAGACTCCAATACACGAAAGTTAACATGCTTGACTAATAAAACCTAAAATCCTCGCATTCATTTTTTCAGTCAATTGTAGGTTCCCGTTATCAAAGGATTCAAAATCTAGATGTAATGGAACTTCAGTTTAAGCCTCTTTAGTTTTATTCTTTCTCGGTCTTTAGTGCTTAGGTCTATCTGAAAAACTGAAGAAATCTTAACAAACCGAACAGAAACAAGAATTCAAACATGTTTCAAAATACAACAATGCAACACAGAAAACTCTGTTTGTCTTGCTTACTATTTATTATTCAAAACATTCGGTAAATGCTCTCAGGCTACCACGTGACCTACGATACAGTGTCGAATTACTCTAAATCTCCTAATTATTGATTTTATTGACAAGAAATATTCTCTACCCTCCAACAAGTCAAATCCCAGTGCGTACACTTCAAATTAGTCTTGAATGTAACTTAATGTTAATTGCCTGATGCTGGATAGCAATTGGTTGCATGCTTGAGCCTTATCAAGGATACCATAATCTACCGGGATGCGTAAACATCAGGTAATATTGCCGTTGTATAATTATCCATTCGGATCTCAAGTGAAACAGATAGGGCTTCAGAAGTACACCTCCATTTCACCTCGTTTGCCATGGTCTCTTTCAGCTGGCTGAACAATTAACCATTAACTTTCATCGCTACCTGATACTGTCTCCTCTTTGCCATCGTCAGACCCACATTCACCTCGTAGTTTTCTATTGTGATTCTCTCCGATTGTTTGGCTAAGGCGTCAGAACGAGTATCAAATACAGCGAAATTCACATCCTGGATTACACTGTTACACATTATTAACCATGAATTTTCTGGTGTATAGAACTTATTTTCTTTATGTACTTTTACATGTCTGGTCTTACCTCTCTCACTCTGTTTATTGATTTTTGGATTTAGTTTGCCCTCACCTCATTTATGACCTTCTAAATTCCAACGGTTCGTGACTGTTTCAATTTACTAATGTAATTAGTGTCTCTTAAGGTCATTTAAAACATATATATTTACAAACAATCAGTTTTTGCTGATGTTGTGAGACCATAAAGGCTTTCTACATCAACGGTCAATATTCTCTTCTTGTCTTCTTGCGTGTTGTCGTCCCGCGTTACAACTTCGAATAGTGATTAGAACAATAGGCTGGTGAATCGACTGAATAGGAAATTCGCTGGTGCAACTACCTGATAGTTGTTTCATCGTGAATTGGGACTCTTCATCAGTAAGCATTATTTTAGCACGAACACTAGTCAATGACATTACCGGCTATTTCTCCGAACGCCTAATCAAGTTGAGCCTACTGGTTACGAATTCGTACTGTACCTCTAAGCAACTTCGTCCAACAGCCAGTCACCAGGGAGTTTCACGTTTATTTTCAAGAGTGAAATCTTAGGCATTTGATTTATCCCGGAAACCAGGGAGTGCTAGAAAGCTGTCTCGTCCTAGTTTGGGATTCATCGGCAATATTCCTCCACCAGAGTTCGAGCTCAGTATCCTACTTTTCAGTTTTTCTTTCAGTGATATCAGTGAGTGGTAAAACTTGAAACACGATTCAAGGCTAAAAGCGTGTTCTTTAATTTGTCAACTAATCAGGACTAGATAGGATTTCTCCTTCACCCTATAATGGAACTTCATCATACTGTAATAACCACACATCGTGTCACTCAAATGAATTGTGCTCAGTAAAGACAATCAGTAAAATACTATACAGGGTTAACTTACCAGCCGAATGTAATGATTTGACTTTTAATTTATAAGGTAAGCAAAAATATAAATTCCTAAGTATGAAACATTATACTATTATCAACGAATACATCATAGTGAGTAGTGATTATCCATTAAGCAAGAAAAGTTTGTCAATAAAAAAAAACGATTTTAAAAATGTCTATCAATTTTTGGCTCAAACCCTCTCCAGATGAATACTCTAGATACAGAGTACTAATAGAAATATATAAGGCGATATTTGAGTAGGAATTTAACCAACCATGATGAATCAGTTATGACGAAACAGTATTTAGAAAACAGAAAGATTGAGCGAAGAAATATTTACTTTTCAATTAGATCCTCATCTCTGGCTCTACTCTAATATATATGGCATTTTAATTACAATACACAACAGTTTGCCGATCAAGTGGTGATAAGTTTGTTAACAATAATTAAACAGTGTCAATGGGTTAATAGTTAACGAAGAAAATCAATACAGATGTAAAAGGTGGAAATGGATAGAATAAATTAATTTTACAAGAATAACACGTAAATTAAAGATAAAGTGGTCAAAATAAATAAAATAAAATAAATAATTTAGACAAATATAATTTTATAGGTTAAGGGGGATGACGCAGTCCTGTTTATGCATTCTTGTGCCGATGGCCACGGTAGGGAAAGTGGCTGTACAAATTTGTCTAAATTATTTATTTTATTTTATTTATTTTGACCACTTTATCTTTAATTAACGTGTTATTCTTGTAAAATTAATTTATTCTATCCATTTTCACCTTTTACATCTGTATTGATTTTCTTCGTTAACTATTAACCCATTGACATTTTGACACTGTTTAATTATTGTTAACAAACTTATCACCACTTGATTGGCAAACTGTTGTATTGTAATTAAAATGCCATATATATTAGAGTAGAGCCAGAAATGAGGATCTAATTGAAAAGTAAATATTTCTTCGCTCAATCTTTCTGTTTTCTAAATGTCTAAATGGGGATTTTTTCTTTATTGAAACAGTGTTTGGAAATTTCCTTAAGAGGAAGTACCACCCACACGTCAATGACAGAGAAGGTATTTAATATTGACAACTAGGATAATGATGCATTAAATCCAATAGAGATTTGGATTCCATTCCCAATAAGCTGAGCCCTTGTTTAACAGCCAACAGCAGGTAGAGAAAACTGAGGAAGCTGGACGTGTTAGACTAGCCATCCTACCTCGTTTACAGAACCCTACCACCGGTAAAACTTCAAAAGCTTGAAGCGGTGTGTACCAGTCAGAGCACAAGAAATGAAAAAAGATAAGTCCATGACAGAAATAAAGTTCACACCATTTCCTTTCACTACACAAATACTTGATAAATCGATCCTGATTACTTATGCACCTACCTGAATTTTTAAGCATTTTTCCAGACGCATTCAAATGATGACAGTAACTTTTCGATAAATTCTTCATCAGGTTCCACATGTATATGACATTAATAACTACAGAAATATTATTATTACTATCAACAGTTCTATACTGGGCCAGCTAGTGCAAACGGGTCACACAGCTAGCAGCAAATGAGTGTTTGCCTATCATCTACCGGCTGTTGAATGAATGACGAAAGCCCTATTGACACCAAAAACACTGCAATTCACTTGAGTCGATAGGATTTCGCCGTTCAGGTTGAGCCACTACTGCCATCCTGGCGTGCTGACGAAGCTATAAATTCATACAACTTGTGCTGCATCCCTTAATTTATCTAATACTCAGTCAGTTTAGTGTTGTACTTATGTATCTTATCTCCATCGCTTACTAAGACTTTTGAAATTTATTCTGTCAACTCCACTGTTTCAATGTAATTCAAAACAGCACTAATTTTGCTAATAACAATATTTATTTAATTATTACTGACATTTAAATGTAGAACCTGATGATAAAATAATTGGAAACAATGTCGTTCGTTCATTAATCATTCTTTCAAATGTTTAATTTAATTCATTTAATTCAATTTTCGATTTTCACGTCGGCTGACTAAATCGACGTGCTCGGTCTCAGGTTGACATGTCGGCTTCTTATACAGATGTTTTGACGATGTGTGGGCATGTAATTATAAGTTAATTAGTGGATAGTGACTTACAGTAGAATCCAAGATATATGCTTCGTCCTATTCGGAACTGGTTGGTGGTTGGATGTATCTGCATTCCGCTGTAAGTGATGATATTCCTACTGAGGCTCAAAGACAATGCCTTAATTCTAAAGGCCAGAGTGCTATTTACTAGACCATTTGCGCCACAAGAGAGCCACCTCTTGTGTGACACATCATATTAGTTATTTAGTTCATTTTAAAATTTTCCCGTCGATTGGTAATGCTTCAGTGTCTGAAACTATGGTCGCTGGGTTCAAGCCTTGGTGAGAATATCATCACTCACTGCGGAATGCAGGTACATCCAGATGACGAGTCTCAAATAGAACAAAATGCTCTTCCTAGAATTCTCTGCTAGTCACCATTCACCAATTAACATCCAACAGGCATGTTCAATAGATTATTGTCATTCATTTTACAATTTCTGTTATCAAGTTATCTTCCTCTCTTGCGCCATCTCTTTTTCTCTCTCTGTGAAAAAATAACTGTTTACTATAATGACGAAAGTGAATTGTAGTTTATCGTAACTTTAATTTTCAATCCGTCATATCCTTTTCCACCTCTGCCTTTCTGAACTTGACCAAAAGGGCACTTTCACCAAACCGTTTAACTATTATTTATCACCTATGGTTTGTCGATTTTCCAATCGAATCTGCTTATGTATTTCTTACAGAATATGTATATAACATCACAGTTTGTAGAGTATTCATTCGAGTAGATGTTCTGTCGAAATGTAATGAATTCGCTGAAAAATTCCACTTTACTGATAACGGTTATGCCTAGTTTCCAAAATGAAGATAAAACGAATAACTAAGCTAATAAAATTCTCAACTTTAATTATAGTCTAAACTTACTCTATTGCAGCCAAACTTCTTCTAAATGGTCATAAATCAAACAATAATATATTTATTCATATTTCACAAGTCTAAAAGTTATTGGAACAAGGCATGCTAGGAGAATCGATGATACATAAACGTTATGCGGATGATACACTTATTAAAGAGAATAACAGTAAGTCTATGGAAAACTTTATTACTCTATTTAATCGTATTCATCCAAATATCCAAGTGACTTCCTCCTAATAACAAACTCAGTTTCTTCGATATTTCAATGACCAGCAGAGATGATGGAACGATTCAGCGATCTATTTTTCGTAAACAGACATGAAGTGGACAATATATTGACTTTACCAGTTTTGTTCCTATCCAGTATAAACGTTCTATAGTGAAATGTTTGTATTCAAGAGCCAGCAAAATATGCACCAGTGACACATTGATGGATGAGCTTCAACATATACATTCTGTTTTATTAACTAACGTGTATCAACAGCTTAGATACCGAAGAAAGCTATCTTTATCAATCATTATTCAAGGGGGATCAAATTGTGCAGATGACAGCTCAGTAAACCCACATTCTATGACGAATCTCCTTCCCTCACACGTCGAACATCTACGATCCCTGTACCTACGAAAAGTGGAGAAAATTCTCTGAACACTACCTCAAACAGTATCTCTGAGTTCACCTGCACTTGTGGTGAAACTTATATAGGTAATGCCAATAGAATGTTCCAATGTCGTCGAAAGGAAAAGGTTTAAAATAGTTATTAACACACAGAAAATCCCATTGCAATTAATCTGAATAAAAATCCAACATGATCCTCCATTTCGTAGCACTTATTAATGTCAGATCACAAAATCAATATTAATGGCAGCTTCACAATTATTTCACATAACTCTAATTCAAGGTTATTGAAGGTGACGCAAGCACTTTGGAGTTTCCAAATTAAACCACAGGGGAATTTCGCCTCCTCGAACTATTTCAATTGCAATTTAATTTGAGAATTTTGGATTTGGTCTGGGATTTGAATGCCTTTATTATTATGACTCTAATTCATCTTAATTTCATCTTTGTAGTTCTTCATGTAATGTGCTTCCCTAAAGCGAAATGACTAAGGTGAAGGAAAACAAAGGCTGAATAATAATACAATGGATTATTCTACCTAACCAAATAAGATAAATAAAGCGTTTCTGCAAGCAGTGGAAGATTTAAACGAATAGATGCATTAACTCACTGCCAAAATGAACTGAAAAAATGTGAATGCAAATTCATAATAATTCACTGTAATAAATTTGTTTGTAGCGATGGTACAGTGGTTGATTGCTCATCAACCACATATGTAGTCCAGGTTTGATTCCTTGCCGACGGACTTCTAAATTTCCATGAGCCGGCAGTAAGCCCAATAAAGAAAGGAGACTATGCTTGAGGTAAGAGACAGACTCAATCTATTAAAGCAGCGCCATCTTCACTCAAGCTTGAAGCACTCTATTCCCATAAAAAACGCAGTGGAATGCGAAATGGTATGCAGGAAACATAGATCATTTATCTACCTCAGCATTCATGAAACTAAAAACCTAATTGAAAATACAACGCAACTAACGAAAAACAATGACTAAAAATAAATTACAATGATCTAAAGAATGCGAATACACCAATGAACTTCAGCTGACCAATCAGAAAAGCCGATAACGTTCATATACGACAGAAAAGCATGAAAACACATTAAATAGGGTATTTATCCCTGACATGACTTTGAAAATTTATGTTTCAGTTGTAATCAGTACTGTTAGTTTATTAAATGAAGCAGTTTCATACATATATTAACCAAGCGTGGCTAAAAGTAAGTTACTTTTCCGATCACTTTATTGTTCGTGTTCTGTTTTCTAATCTACTTCAGTAGTCCTCGGCTGAATTACGTCAGTGTTGTAAATTCTTAATACCCAAAAGTCTGGTGACCATGGTTATAAATCTTCTTTATAAGAACTGTTTCATCGATACGAAGAATAACACCAACTCCTCCGAACAGCTGTGTGACGGTATTCATCTCCCAGGATGTTATATCTCTGTAATGTTGAAAGGAATATTTCGTCATCACAGTCGTTGACCTTATTCAAGCCTCTTATATCTAATAATGGCCCATTAAGAGTATCTTTGTCAGTGGGAATTTCGATTTAGAAAAAAAAGCCCCTAGATAATAATGAACTTAGCGTCTTAATTACCATAACGAACACTCATTCGTCCCTTGCATCATGTACACTTAAACAAATGCCCATCATCTGCTTCTGGACACCATTCAAGGTATATGAAAGCACCACCACAAGAGCATTAAGCGCTACATACTATCTAACTATCGTCTAAACAGTACTTAAAAACGTTGTTGGAGTGAAATTTGCTCCTTCATTTGTGAATAGTGCTCATATTGGTGGCATGATAATGGTAAGTCACGTTTTCCAACGACTAGTTTATACTGATGTTCATTCTAGGGTTTATTTTCCTGGATCATGAGACACTTCATCTTGGAGAAATAATGAAATTTGGCGGAAAACAGTGTACTTGTTCCACTCAATGAAATCTTCATCTATCATATGAGTTGTTTTAAGTCAACCAGAATACACTGGTATAGTGCATAAGGGACCTGAAGACATTATATCACATAACCAAGTCTCCATCTGGGAAGAGACCAACACACGTGAAACCTATAAAAGACAGCCAAGGAAACTCAATAAACAAGGAAGAAAAACAGATTAAACAATTGCCGGATCACTTCAAAGGACTCTTGAACAGACCACCACCCGCAACCCGTCCAGGAATACCAACAACAGCGCGCACACAACTGCAAGTTGACACCAATCCTCCAGCGGGAGCTGAAGTCTTGAACGCAATCAGGCTTCTGAAAGCTGGAAAAGCAACCGGACCAGATGGAATACCCCTGAAGCACTGAAAGCAGACCCAGAGACGACAGCAAACATGCTGACTTCATTATTGCAAAAGGTCTGGAAGGAGGGAAAGGTGCCTACTGACTGGAGGAAAGGTTACCTCGTGAAACTAACAAAGAAGGGCGGCTTAGGACTCTGCAAGAACTGGCGAGGAATCATGCTCCTATCGACGCCAAGTAAAATCCTGAGTGGCATCATCCTGGAGGAAATAAAGAACACACTGCTTTCAGAACTCCCACCGGAACAAGCTGGATTCAGAAACGGCAAATCATGTTCTGACCAATTTGCAACTCTACGCATCATCGTCGAACAAAACATGGAATGGCAATCAAACCTATACCTCAACTTTATAGACTTCGAGAAGGCCTTTGACAGCGTTGACCGCGAAGTAATTTGGAAACTACTCGAGTACTACGGTGTACCCCGAATATTCATCAACCTTATTCAACAGCTGTACGACAATGGCACATGTCAAGTCATCTACAACGGAAACCTCAGCGAGGCGTTTGGAGTGAACACAGGAGTCAGACAAGGGTGCTTATTATCACCAATGATATTCCTAAGTGTGGTGGACTGGATTATGCGTCAGACAGTGGGAAACGAGAAGACAGGAATATCCTGGACCAACTGACGTGAAGAACCTAGAAGACCTGGATTTCGCACGTGGATGATTTATATTTGATGTCACAAAAAATCGAAGACCTACAAGCGAAAACCGACAAACTGGTGGAAGAAGCAGCCGGAGAAGACAGGACTCCAGGTGAACATGGACAAGACGGAGTTTATGAAAATAACCAGCCAACTACAACAACAGAAGCAACATTCAGCGCTAATCACCACCAACTGGAGGGATTTGAAAGAGGTCATTTCATTCACTTATCATCTAGGGAGCATTGTCTCAACTACAGGCAGTTGGAATGGACGAGGATGTCAAATCGAGCGAGAATCGAGAAGGCCAGAAACGCATTCATCAACCTGAAACCAATCTGGAAATCTTCGTCACTCAGCCAGCATCAACAAAATAATTCGGTCAGATTTTCAATACAAACGTCAAGTCAATCAGTTCTTCTATACGGATCAGAAACGTGGCGGGTGGGTCACAAAGAATATTTCCAACAGGCTAACTCAGACATTTATCAACAATTGTCTTCCCTGGATCTATACTGAAGACCAGATGGCCGACCCGGAAAGAATCACCAATTATGGGAAACTATGGGAAGAAACAAAACAAGAACCAACAAGAACCCAACCAACAAATATGCAGGAAAAAGTGGGAATGGATGGATTGGACACTACTCTCCGAGGATGCCGGTGGGTGACATCGCGCGCGCGTCAGGCCATTGCTCGAGTGGAACCCGACAGAATGAGAAGCGGCGAGTGGGACGCCAGTTCAAGGGTTACATGGAGGAGGAGATCGTGTTAGTTGGAGGAGTTGAAACAGTATGGACTAACCAACATGAATGCAGGTGAAAAGTACAGCAAAAGAAAGAAGTGGCAAGTGGAGACATGCAGTTGAAGCCCTATGTTCCACTAGTAATCCAAGGGAATGATAATAATAATATTAATAGAATACACTTTATAGAACAAACTGAAAACAGTTCAAGAATTTAGTCAACAAAGAAGATGCTTATTAAATTTTACAGATATAGGTGAACTCACGCAACAGGCTGTTTTACTGTACTCTGCGTAGCAACAACTAAAGGAGCAAAAAATATGTTGTTAACAGACATAACAGTCAATGAAGGGAACCATCAAGTCGTTTATTACGAAATTATTATTTTGTCTCTAAACACTATTTGGTTGCACACAAACACATAATGAAGACTCTTCATTTTCTGCAGTTACCTAGGGCCGCAATGTTTATACAAAATTTGCCTCAAGTTCCAGTGAAATTGTGTTCCGTGAGAGAATTTTCCCGAACTGCAGCTTGCTGAAAACCAGGGCTATCTCTATCAATATGTTCCATATGACTTCGTCCATTCAGTTTGTTTATATCTATTGAAATATAACCTGTAATAGTATTACAACTCTGGCGTGTAATTAAATTATTTGCAGCCTGCTAATTCACAGGTTCCTACTAAACATGTGAAAAAGCATTATCCAGCTCGATGGATGGCAGCCCAACCCAGTACATAAGAAGACCGTTCCTCAGTGGTGTCTTTGGTTCACAAAATGAACACCTGAAAATTTTTTAATAACAGGCATCCAAAAAATGTGGTGTGTTTCTCCTGAAGCAGCAAAAGAAGAGACATCATCCTAATGGATTGGTTTGTGATTCAGGTTAGACAGAATTGTGCGACACGATCTACTGTCTGTCACTTAATCTCTTATTTGAGCATCATAGACGAAAAAGAAATCTGATGCTTGCTAGTGGGTGACTTGCTACAGGATGGAGTTTCCTGGAGTTCTAGTGAGAAGTCGGGACCAGTGAGATACATGCAGATGTCACGTGTGAGGATGGATTTCCCACCTACGGCAATTGTTGTGGTCGCGCTAAATCCCGAATTGGTAGAAGTTAGAATTCATGGGTTAGCCATTGAACCGGGTCCTAGTGGCTGCCTTATAACCGGAAGGTCCTGGGTTCGAATCCCAGCGGGTGCATACTGATGATGATTCCCAAACTAGGACGAAACAGCTGTCCAGTACTCCTTAGTATTCAGTAGTTTTCTAGCCGATATCAATCCGTGCTCAACTCGTAAAAACAAAACTAACCCTTACTAACGAAACTATAAAAAATATCACGTCATAAACTCCGCCGGAAATTTTGTACATTATATAAACATTGTTCAGAATAAACCTATTACGGGAGGTAGAATGCTCGCCAATCACTGCAAACCTGGTTCGGGTTTCGATCTCGAGTTACTGACGCACTCCTAAACCTCTCTAAACCAGTAATAAGACTGGTTAAGAGTGAAGGTTGGGCATGAGAGTAGCAACGGCACACCGTATTAGCAATATTAAACACCACTGCTACTAAAACGTCGAGCCTCTACCTTGAAGCCCGCCTATGTTCCACTGGAAACGTGAAGGAATAAAATAAAAAATCACAAGGAACACCATATATATATATCGCTGATAGACTTGACTTTGACCCTTCTTTCCAACCTACACAGAAGATGCTTTTGACGTAGGCATATTTTGTATATGATGGAGAAGATTTGTAGTTATTTTTTTTTATTTTTTATTTTTTTTTATTTTTGATTGCAGCTTGATTCCACACCGTATTTTTGGTACAGGTATGGAATTTTCAGCATGGATATCGGTAGCCCAAATTTCGCAGGCCGACCATAGATATCAGGTGTGCGTCGGCCAGGGCTCGAACCTCGGACCATGTGCATGGTCGGCGAGACTCCTAACCACTGTGCTACCGACGCACAGGTGAATAATTTTGATATGGTTGTGTTCTCTGAGCAGGATAGTGGATTTGTGAACCAACAAAATCACTTCACTCAGCTGGCTCTCTGTCAACCAAAAGACTCAAGATGGAAAGGAGATAAAACCAACATTATCTACAAAATTTAGTTCCAACGACTGTGAAAAATACTGCATTGGCCATAAAGTGGACGCTCCTCCTCTTAGTCTTCGTATCCATAATCATAAACTAGTCATCGAAACACATGACATACAGACAATCACGGACATCCGTTAAACTGAGACAACGAACGTTAAAATATTAGACAGGAGAAACACCAAGAATGTCAGAATATTTCGAAGCCTGGTATTCCAGTGAATCATCAGTCACTAGATACATCGAGATAAGCAAAATTTACCCAAAGGATAAGAAGCAAATCTCTCACACAAAGGGTAAACGTTCAAGTCAAGTTCCAATACAAGTAGCCTACAAGGTGTGAAAACACACAAAAACAACTAACCAAGTTTAAGGTCACCAGGAAAGATAATTAATTAATAACCTCGTGAAGAAATCTAAAAATTCACTTCAGATTGAAGTATGTGGCGAAGATCTTGCCTAGTTGGCCGATGAAATCTTCGCAAATGAACTATCCACCAAGCTCAGATAACACAACCACATGAAAACCATATTTAGTATATTCAAGAATTACGAGTTGTTACACTAAATCTCCTTTAGAGATTCAATTTTAAAATCAAAGTTAATTTAAACAGTAATGTTCCTTCATTTTCCTATTTTCTAGTGAACTGCCTCAAAATTCACTGATCACGCTTCTCAGTCTTAGCCTTTTGCACTGGATCACTTCTTACCTCAATATGTGTGACAACTATGTGTGTGGACTCAGAATGTTACATAACAGTTGCACAGATCCATTACACGTATCAAGTAAAACTCCTATGTATCTTAAAAATTCAACCATTTTTGTTGATTTGATAGAAAAAACATTTAAATTTCATGTGATACACTAGTTCACATTTTATTTACCAAGAGGCTTGTGTATCTGTCATATGATTAACACGTATGTAGTCATGTATTCTCTATGGACACGTTGTGAAAACATGACGCATTACGATCCACCTTGAAAAACTATGAGTGGTTGATCAATAATACAATTACAAGACGCTAAAACTTGACTGAATCCAATATATATATATATATATATGTAAATAGGGACAGCTGTTTTGTACTAGTTTGGGACTCTTTAGTGGTACGCAATCACCTCTAAGGTTTGAACCCGGGACCTTCTATTTCCAGGACGAGCTAGGTTTCACACAATTAGGCCACTGAGACATAGCCCAAACACTTCGCAATGTCTTCTTCGATGAGTTACTGCCTCGCCTTCAACCTGCTGCACTCTACCGGCCACGGCTTACCACTAGCACCCCAGGTTAACTGCCTGAATGGAGCCAGTCGCTAGCAAGCATAAGATTAATTTTCAAGTATTGGTTCTTTTAAAGATTTATTGGATTGGTTGTAGGAGTCATTACGTAGTGTTAGCGCTATGACATGAATTGATAGAAGTTAGAATTCATCCGATGGCCATTGGATCAGGTCCCAGTGGCGTAATGTTCTACGAGCTAGCTTGTCTTTCAACTAGAAGGTCTCGGATTCAAACCCTGGTGGTAGAGGCCTACAACTGAAGAGTTCCAGATTAGTCTGAAGAAAGCTGTTGGTTCCTACATTGTCACCTGTCATCAGTACGCATCCAAGACCGCAGAGTCATGCAGCAAACCCATTTACCATTTATCACCAAGAAAAACTCGAATGCCTGATAAATCCAAACTGCTGCTGATACTCAGCATATAGCGCCACAGTCACACAGTGTAACTGGTGAATATCCATTCTCACATTCAAAAAGGTATACCCCACTGGTCACATCCTCTAAACAGTACTCCAAAAGCTTGATTCTGTAGTCAGGCTCTACTGAAGAGAAGAAGCGTTGCTTTGTGAGGAATGAAGAGCGAAGGAAATAATATTTTCACGTCTCCCTTCTCATTATTCTAAATGAGCATTAATCTGTCTTTCATATTTTGGTTACTTATTACTAACTTAGAAAATGTTTAGCTTTTCAGTTTTTTGATTTACATTCAGTATTTGACTTACAAATTATTCTCCTTAACCATAACCTATCTTCTAATGATACTTGAATGATTAAGTTCATTCCAAATCAACTAACCTGTCTGTAGAATAGCTTTTTATTCGCCCCATGGTCAGCTTGCTGCAGAGATTGTGTACAGAAAGAACTTCATGTCAGCCATAATTTGCAAAAAGCTAACACACCTCACAGTGGTCACAAATTTTAACTGACAGCGATGGAAAAAAATACTTCAAGGAAGATAATTCCATCTAGTTCTATCCCATCGTCTTACTACAGACATGAAATGTTTATTCCACCTCGATGTCTATTCCTATCCTTCGGTAGATATCCAGAGTTCACTTAGAACCTGAAAGACGACCTACCTGGTCTAATGCTTCATATGATGTGTAGACCGTTTTAACTGCATCTAATGTCCAAGTAATATAGATCTTGCGGTTAGACAGTTTATCTACAAAATATTTGCAAGCGTGATTAATAAAGGTTGAAATTAAATGCAGCATTAGTTCACTTCTGCTACACTTGGTGGGCGCATGAGATTCTAGGGAAGTTGATGTTCCTTTTTGGATCAACCATCATATTTCTAATACAGTATAAGATAAGATTTCCTCACATTTCGATATATATATATATATATATCGAACTGTTGCGACAAATTTAACCAAGCTAGAATTGTATACTATGATAGTACATATGCAGACACTACATAAGATTTTGGTTCTGACAGCTTATATCAGTTGTTCGTTGATAGTATATTCCCCAACATTGAAAGTGGTTCAGAATCCGATCCCTGGCCGATGCAAAACCTACATGCACCTAGCCAGTAGCAAACGCGGTAACCACAAGAGATTCTATGTGCAACTAGCAGATGCAACAACTCTTCTACTGAAACTTAAACGGTCATAGCCTGATGCACCATATTTCACTTGAAGCGGAAACAAATAAATAATGTTCAGGTATTGATTAGCAGGGATTTTGTTTGATTGTTTATATGATTTAATAATGAGATGAAATCGGTTAGAGGATCATTGGAAAACCAGCTGGAGGTACTGGAAAGCTGTTCTGTCAGCCTAGTTTGGGACTATTCAGCAGTACGCAACCACTGATAGGGCTCGAACCCATGATCTCCTGGTTACAAGAATAACCACCTCGTAAACCAATAAGCCAATAAAACCTGAAAAATGACCTCATGCTCGCTAGTGGTTGGTTCTATTTCGGCAGCGTCCTGAAGTCCTAGTGGTAAACCTTGAGCACTCAAGTACAGTAGGTAGAAATTGAGAACAGTCACTCATCGAAGAGGACGTTTCTAAGTGGTCGCACTATGTTGTGAACTGGCAGAAGTTAGAATTCATTGGGTGGCAACCGGACTGAGTGCCAGTGGCTAGATGGTCTACGAGCTTGCTCCCCTTGTGCCCAAACAGTCCTGGGTTGGAACTCTGCCGATTGGTGCATACTGATGAAGAGTCGCAACCTAGGGCGAAACAGCTGTCCAGTACTCCCTATTAGTTTTCCAGTGGTTCTCTTACCAGTATCAGGTCATGATGTGCAGATGTGGTTCCAGAAATAAATACTACCCTTCTTTGCAGATGTATCTCATCAGTATGGTCTTTCTTATCTTCCTCTTGTGCAAATATGCTTACTCATGACATTTTATGACCTTTATCCAATCACGCCAAGATTGAATAACTTTCTATTTGCTATAAGACCAAATGTTTCCTTTTAAGAGAACCAAAGAAGACAGACTAAAAAATTAGGAGGGACTAAAATTTAATTGCTTTGTGTCTCAGTTGGAACACCATAACGCATACTAGAAATCTGAGGTAAATCCAGCTGACAAGTAACAAATGGGCAGAAATGAGCATCCTGGATTCCACCACTAGCCACCAAATATTACTCACTGCTCATCTTGTTTTGAGATCCGTAGTCATATATCTAACACATATCTTACTATTATTACTATTTTAATAATGTCTTTTGCTAATATAAGAATATAGAAGAATTTGTTGAAAAGAAACGGTTTCTTAATTGAAGATGTAGGAGTATTTTAGTCCGTTATAAATATTTAAATTAAAAATTGCGCATTTTAAACTGTTTTAGATATATCACCTACAAAGGCACTCAATTCTGATATATAATAGTAAGGTTATAATGACTTGGTAAATAGCTGTAGCTTCAAATTCTCGATACTACCGAATCAACAAAGAAGTAAAGAAATATACTGAATGATATTCGTCCTACAAAGAGATGAGACATAAGTTTAATGATGCTACGAGAGAAGAGTCTAGTGTGAATGTCACAGGATAGCGTAAATCGTACTCAATTTTAATCATTTATTATGGTCGTCTAATACTCACTAGTGACTGAAAGAAAGATAACCGGAGCTTCGATAAGAATTCCTGAGCTGTGAACTCCACCAAGCCAGGTAAGAGATCAGCTATCAGCCTATGGCGTTGGCTAGCGATTTGGTAAACCTTTGGATCAGATCCCAGTGACTGAATGGCAAATCAGCTTGCCTTTTAAACTAATAGGCCCTAAGTTCGAAACCCAGTGGGTTCATACTGTGAAGAGTCCCAAACTAGGATAAAACAAACGTCCAGTACTCCCAGCTGGATTTCCAATAATTCTCTAAATGATGTCAAAATGTGGTCTACCATTTATCACTACTGATATATTTAACATAGAATGTGGAGATACATACATATTTTGTCATTTGACATGACGTCCAAATATCGAAGAAAATGATAGAGTCAATGTCTGACTTCAAATAGGCATTGAAGAGATGGATACACCTCTTTGCGTTTTTTTGTAAAAATATATGAACTACTATAAAAACAATCAGTAGATAGAGAAATAAAAAGAAATATATAAAAAAAAGAAATATATAAAAAAAAATATACGCGCTATGTCGTGAACTGGCAGAAGTTAGAATTCAAGGACCATTGGATCGGGTCCCAGTGGCTCAATGGTCTACGAGCTCGCCTCGTAACCAGAAGGTCCTGGGTTCGTATCCCGGTGGGTGCGTACTGATGAGGAGTCCCAAACTAGGACGAAACAGCTGTCCAGTACTCCCAGGTTTTCCAGTGATTCTCTAACTGATATCAGCTCATGACTAAATCCTCCATGCAATCAAATATTTTAAAAGACGAAAAAAGACATCTATCTACATGTAAGATTAATATCCAATAGAAGAATTTGGACGGAATTAATCAGAAACATACACGCAAGCCTAGATACTAATTAAAATTCATCATTTTTAAAGTGTTTAGCAGTGGTATGCACGACACATGGTCTGACCTTAACTAAGACTCCTCACTTGCCTCCAAAATCGTAAGTATCAACCACTACACCTCTTGTTCACATTTTCTTAAATAGCCACACATTAACGTTTAGGAAAGTTACAAATCGAAACAGCACAACATATATAATACACACGCACTGCTTACCTCCTGTAGTGGTGGATGATGCTACACCTGCATATGCAGATGACAAGAGAAGAGAAAACACAATCAATTTAATCATCTCTTCGCTAGAGTCTTCACTGTGATCACACTTATTTATAGGTTTCTTAATGCATATTTGATTGATCTGTTTGAAAGTTATGATCCGATGCTGATGATCAAGTTTTTTGTATTTCAATTAGTTATTTGTCAACAAAAATAACATCAAAAACAAAATATTTGTTTTCCTTTTGTTTTTTTTTAGTCGTCTTATGAAATCTATTTCAATTAACTGAGGGTTGATCATCGCTTTTGATGCAATCTGTTTGTATGCGTCTTCGGTGCCTACGTGATTTCTTCAGTATTATTACTCATAATGGTTAGTATTTTACAATAAAATATTGGTTACAGGATTTCATCATGAGCTGATATCAGTTAGAGAGCCATTGGAAAACCTGAGAGTACTTGACAGGTGTTTCGTCCTGGTTTGGGAATCTGCATCAGTACTCACTCACTGCGGCCTGAACGCAGGACCTTGTGGTTATTGTTTGCGCTACGTCGTGAATAGGCAAAAGTTGGAATCTATGGACAATTGGGTCGAGTCGAATGATCTACGAGATCTCCTTTTAAATGGCTATCTAACCGATGTCAGCTCATGACGAATCCCTGTAACTAATCAGTCAAATTCCTACAAACCAGTACCTATATAAAATATTGAACAGTGTGGAACAGGATGACTAGAAGGAACAGTCTTAGAATAGAAAGAAGTACGTTTCGTTATTCAGTGTTTGATTCGACACTAATTAGTAACTAGTAACACGTGTTTAGTCACTTGTTTGTTGCAGACTTAATTCTTTCAGTCAGGTTTGCATTGTGGCCACCATGCGGGGTGGCTCACTATCATGGTGCACTTCGAATTGTTCATTATTGGAGGCAATCGTTAGGAGGCCTTACCTGACCTACGTTTCGTCTTTATTGACACTTACTAGTCAGCAAGGCTCATTTGCAACCTTCAGGGAAATCATGTCACCTCTGGAATTCGAACCCGCCTCCCCGAGTGCTGCAGTCAGATACGTCACCGTCGCGACTGACCTTCTGTGAGACTGTATTGGATACTTTAGTTAAAAACCAGTTAGTAAGCAGTGTAATGTGTCTAGTTCTATTCAGTAATTCTGTCAGTGTTCGTTGTAGACTCAATAGTTCATCACCAACTCATTGTTAATTGTGGTGTACTTGACTGACTCCAGTTTAGTTCACTTTTGACTGCTTCTAAAGAGGGTAAATTTTAAGTTTAAAAATTAGCATTCCCTGTCATAATAATGCCTTCCTTAAAGCCCCGATAAACACATCACATTAATCTAGATCCTTATTTAAAAGTGGATAATGTTGAAATGATTGAGAATATTTCAGCCAAGGTGGATGTGTTTGGTATTTTTATGTAATTGAATAAAGCAAGAACAGTATTTTTTGTAGAATAATATGCTACCATCATTTATTTGCTTGACCTCTCACCAGCTACTGTTTATAGCCCGAATCGATTATTATTATTATTAAGTTCGTCAACAGAAAAGTTTTAACATACTTGCAAATTTTGCAGCTTTTGAGTTGATGGGATGTTCTGCACATAGTGAACAGTGCTCAGAAATATATATCAATAGCGAAGAAAGCTCTCAATTCTCCTCAATTTTGCCAAAGCAATCTATATCAAACGTCTAAAACCTGATTTGTGTGTTCAGAAAGAAGCAGTTATCAGTCTTTCTTTGTTCTGTGAACTGGAGGTCTTTATTTTCTCTCTTTGATTTGATAACATATTTTTCGGCTTTGAACGAACTCCCTTTGAAATGGTGTAGTTTTTCTTGTCTCATGTACTGAATCCAAATCAATTCATGGAAATAAGCGTTGAATTGAATTGAATTGAATTCAGTACACTGTTACCCAATTTATCAGTTGTTTTATCTTTTACAGATTCCACATTGTATTTTTGGTACTAGTATGCAATTTTCAGCATGTGATTCAGGACGACCTCAGTTTTGTGTGTCGGTGGCATAGTGGTTAGGACTCTCGCCAGCCATGCATAGGGTCCTGGGTTCGATTTCCGGCCGACGCACTCCTTTACCTCTCTATGCCAGAAATGATCCTGCTAAAGAGGAAAGGTTGGGCATGAGGCCAGCAACCCCATCGTGTAAAATAAACACCACTGCTATCTATCTCGAATGGGCTTGGCGGCCTGTTTGAATATTTTTGGGCTACCACATTCCATGTACATTTTGCATCTATTTACTCGTATTTTATTGGTATTTACATATCACATTATGCATTCTAATCGTATTATCTACTCCCGGGATTTTATAAAACGTTTTAAACCCAAAAACTTTCATATTTGCAATAAACTCAAGAAAAAGCACCATGGAGGTTGGCAGCGTGCCTTAAAATCTACACCCATACATCACACCACTGTTCCAGTTATCATTAGTACCAACTGCCGGTCCCTGCCTAATAAAATTCTGGATTTTCAGTCTCTGTTGTCTTCTAGTACCTACCACAATACTGGTATTGTCACTCTGCAAGAAACCTGGCTCCATGACTCATACGATGACAATATTGTGTCTCTAAACAATTTCAATGTTTTTCGACAAGACCGTATTTGTTCCAAGAAAAAGTGTGGTGGAGGTGTTGCAACTTTTATTCACTCAAAATGGTCCATTTCAAACAAAGTTTGTTTCAAATTCTCGAATGACTTCATTGATTGCATCACTGTGAGATGTCGCCCGAAACACATTTCAAAATACAAATTCATTTATATTTCTAATGTTTATGTCTCTCCTGGCTGTACCATATTGGATTTATCTATGTTCGCCGATGAATTCACCGCTTTTGCTGCAGCTTGTTTCGAGAACTCTTTATCAATAGTAACTGGCGACTTCAATGCTAGCGATTGCTCCTTCCTTATATCACTTGGTCATGACAATATTGTCAACTTTGCCACCCGTCTTGGTAAAAAACTGGACCTGGTATTTATCAATGATGTTGGTATATATGAAGCTCGCAAACGTGCTCCTCTACTTAATTCTGACCACTGCATCATACGTGTGCTGCCTAAAATATATTCCAAATCACACAAAGGTGTCCTCTCTCACCTCTACAGTAAAGTTCAACGGAGATGCTACTCAAAAGACAACCTAGACAAGCTCAGATGCATGTTGAAAGACACTAACTGGGACTTATTTACAGAACAAACATTAGATGAAACAATCACAAACACTACCGATTATCTTAAATTCTGTTTCGAAATATGTTGTCCTAAAGAAACATTATTCATCCGATTTGATCGCTTATCTTCGCCATATCTCAAAAAGCTACGTAGAAATAAAGAACTGTTGTTCAAAACTAATGATAAGCCTGGTGTAAAAAAGTTAAACATGCTGATAAAACTGGAAATAAAAAGACTAAGTGTTTTATATAATCAAAGATTTTTGTCATGTAAAACCCCTTCTAATTTATGGAAACTTTTCAAAGAAATTACTAACGGTAAGCGATGTATTTCTGTTCCATCTCTTAATGTTGACACTCTTAATAAATCTTTCATACGCTCTTCTGTTGATACCCTTCCAAATGATACAAATCATATTGACAATAACTTTAGTGGTTTTAATACCCTTGATGTGCTTAAATGTCTCCGGTCTCTTAAGCCTTCTCAAAGCCTTGGTCCTGACGGCATACCTGCCATTGTCCTCAGGAATTGTGCTGATATTTTGTGTTATCCTCTTACTAACATTTTTAATGCCTCTTTTTCCGGTAACGTTCTACCTTTTGCATGGAAAAACATTAAAATTATCCCTATACCAAAACCATCTTCTGGTTCTGATATTAAATTTCGGCCTATTGCAATTACTTCCCCCTTTTTAAAATTGATGGAAAAATTACTTTTACTTCGTCTTGAACCCGCTTTGAAACCTTTTAATGATCCTAAACAATTTGCATACAAACATGGTAGAAGTACCTTGGATGCTGCGGTTGTCTTATATCACAATGTTGTCTCTTGTTTAGACAAAGGTGCTAAATATGTTCGTAGTGCTTTCTTAGACTACACATCTGCTTTTGACTCTGTACCTAGGGGCCTTTTATTAAATAAGCTATCGTTGACACAAACAGGATCCTGGGCTAAGAGTTGGTTGCATTCCTATTTTTCTGATAGAATGCAGTATACTGTATATAACGGCAAATCTTCTTCTACCTCGCTTACAAAATCCGGTGTTCCACAAGGTGCTGTCCTCTCTCCTTTTCTTTTTTCTTTCTTCCTACATGACCTGCCTCATTCAAACGAAACTAACTTTGTCAAATATGCAGATGATCTGACTGTATCACTGCCTATCACTTCCGAGTCTGACAGCTCCAAACTTAATAGCTTTCTGTTGGACATCAACAACTGGTCCAAGTCAAATGGTCTTATATTAAATCCTTCCAAATGTCAGGTGCTTGACTTTACTTTCAAGCATCGACGTGACTTACTTGAACTAGTTAACTCTCATGATCCCTGTAGCATAGATGGCACGGAAATTGAAACCAAATCAAGTATTAAATACCTTGGACTAGTTTTTTCCTCTGACCTTTCATGGTCATCCCATATCTTATCTATCTCTAAGAAAATGTTTCGTCTTACCTTCTACATTAAAAAGTTAAGACAATCAGGTATCAACCAACCTTTAGTTTTGCAATTTTTAAACTCCTGTATTTTACCTATTGTACTCTACTGCTCTCCATTAATCTTTCCTGGGCTGCTCAAAAAAGATTATATCATATTACGAAGAGTATTAAATGCTGTGAGTAGAGCTTGTGGTCTGCCACTGCATGAGCTCGCTAATACTATAGTCGAGAGGCATATAAATTCCTGTACGAAATGGGCAAAGGCTATAATGTCAGACCCTCTGCACCCCCTTTATTCACACCTGTCCCCTTGTATCTCATCAGGTAGGACGAGAAGTCAATATAAAAAGATATATGCTCGTACTACTAAGTATAGAAATTCTACAATACCCTATTTAGCGCGTACTTTATGTGACGAAGACTCTGTTAGACGTGAAACTTACAAGTTACTATGTAATTAGCACAGTGAATCGACCCTTTTATCGTTCATCTTTCTGTATTTTATGGTGTCACACTTTCTATCGTTTAAATCGTTACTCTGCTATTTTATATTAGTTGGTATTACTATTATTACTACAATTTTGTACTTTATACATATTTTTCTCCGTATGGCACACAGTATTTTGCTACGTAGCTGCTACAACAATCGTTTTATTACTATTATGTATTGTGTATTTTTAATTTTTTTTGTCGTTTTTGGGTAAATTAGATGCAATATTGTACTGAATGCTGAAAATTCCTTGCTGTATCATGAGTACTGTTTTTGGAATAAAGCAATTATTATTATTATTATTATTATTAGAGAAGAAGAATCATCAATCCCAATTTTGCCACGGTAGGAACAGCGTCTGGACGTGTCTTGATACTACTTAGACTTCGTCGTTTGTAAGGCGTTTAGCAGTAGTATCCATGACGCATTGTCTGTCCTACATACGAACCGTCAGCTGGATGTATCCACTGCCTCTCTGTGAGACATACTGTTTCCACGGAGACCTGCAGCCATCATCAATTGCCTCAAAATCGTAAGTATCAACCACTACACCTCTTGTTCACATTTTCTTAAATAGCCACACATTAACGTTTAGGAAAGTTACAAATCGAAACAGCACAACATATATAATACACACGCACTGCTTACCTCCTGTAGTCGTGGTTGATGCTACACCTGCATATGCAGATGACAAGAGAAGAGAAAACACAATCAATTTAATCATCTCTTCGCTAGAGTCTTCACTGTGATCATACTTATTTATAGGTTTCTTAATGCATATTTGATTGATCTGTTTGAAAGTTATGATCCGATGCTGATGATCAAGTTTTTTGTATTTCAATTAGTAATTTGTCAACAAAAGTATCAACAACAACAAAATCTGTTGTTCTGTTTTGTTTTTCTTCAATCTTGTCATGAATAATATTCAAATTAACTTCGGGGTTTTTCATCGCTTTTGACGTGATCTGTATATATGCGTCTTCGGTGCCTACGTGATTTCTTCAGTATTATTACTCATAATGGTTAGTATTTTACAATAAAATATTGGTTACAGGATTTCATCATGAGCTGATATCAGTTAGAGAGCCATTGGAAAACCTGAGAGTACTTGACAGGTGTTTCGTCCTGGTTTGGGAATCTGCATCAGTACTCACTCACTGCGGCTTGAACGCAGGACCTTGTGGTTATTGTTTGCGCTACGTCGTGAATAGGCAAAAGTTGGAATCTATGAACAATTGGATCGGGTCGAATGATCTACGAGATCTCCTTTTAAATGGCTATCTAACCGATGTCAGCTCATGACGAATCCCTGTAACTAATCAGTCAAATTCCTACAAACCAGTACCTATATAAAATATTGAACAGTGTGGAACAGGATGACTAGAAGGAACAGTCTTAGAATAGAAAGAAGTACGTTTCGTTATTCAGTGTTTGATTCGACACTAATTAGTAACTAGTAACACGTGTTTAGTCATTTGTTTGTTGCAGACTTAATTCTTTCAGTCAGGTTTGCATTGTGGCCACCATGCGGGGTGGCTCACTATCATGGTGCACTTCGAATTGTTCATTATTGGAGGCAATCGTTAGGAGGCCTTACCTGACCTACGTTTCGTCTTTATTGACACTTACTAGTCAGCAAGGCTCATTTGCAACCTTCAGGGAAATCATGTCACCTCTGGAATTCGAACCCGCCTCCCCGAGTGCTGCAGTCAGATACGTCACCGTCGCGACTGACCTTCTGTGAGACTGTATTGGATAATTTAGTTAAAAACCAGCTAGTAAGCAGTGTAATGTGTCTAGTTCTATTCAGTAATTCTGTCAGTGTTCGTTGTAGACTCAGTAGTTCATCACCAACTCATTGTTAATTGTGGTGTACTTGACTGACTCCAGTTTAGTTCACTTTTGACTGCTTCTAAAGAGGGTAAATTTTAAGTTTAAAAATTAGCATTCCCTGTCATAATAATGCCTTCCTTAAAGCCCCGATAAACACATCACATTAATCTAGATCCTTATTTAAAAGTGGATAATGTTGAAATGATTGAGAATATTTCAGCCAAGGTGGATGTGTTTGGTATTTTTATGTAATTGAATAAAGCAAGAACAGTATTTTTTGTAGAATAATATGCTACCATCATTTATTTCCTTGACCTCTCACCAGCTACTGTTTATAGCCCGAATCGATTATTATTATTATTAAGTTCGTCAACAGAAAAGTTTTAACATACTTGCAAATTTTGCAGCTTTTGAGTTGATGGGATGTTCTGCACATAGTGAACAGTGCTCAGAAATATATATCAATAGCGAAGAAAGCTCTCAATTCTCCTCAATTTTGCCAAAGCAATCTACATCAAACGTCTAAAACCTGATTTGTGTGTTCAGAAAGAAGCAGTTATCAGTCTTTCTTTGTTCTGTGAACTGGAGGTCTTTATTTTCTCTCTTTGATTTGATAACATATTTTTCGGCTTTGAACGAACTCCCTTTGAAATGGTGTAGTTTTTCTTGTCTCATGTACTGAATCCAAATCAATTCATGGAAATAAGCGTTGAATTGAATTGAATTGAATTCAGTACACTGTTACCCAATTTATCAGTTGTTTTATCTTTTACAGATTCCACATTGTATTTTTGGTACTAGTATGCAATTTTCAGCATGTGATTCAGGACGACCTCAGTTTTGTGTGTCGGTGGCATAGTGGTTAGGACTCTCGCCAGCCATGCATAGGGTCCTGGGTTCGATTTCCGGCCGACGCACTCCTTTACCTCTCTATGCCAGAAATGATCCTGCTAAAGAGGAAAGGTTGGGCATGAGGCCAGCAACCCCATCGTGTAAAATAAACACTACTTCTACAGAAGAAGAATCAGCAATCCGAATTTTGCCACGGTAGGAACAGCGTCTGGACGTGTCTTGATACTACTTAGACTTCGTCGTTTGTAAGGCGTTTAGCAGTAGTGTCCATGACGCATTGTCTGCCCTACATACGAACCGTCAGCTGGATGTATCCACTGCCTCTCTGTGAGACATACTGTTTCCACGGAGACCTGCAGCCATCATCAATTGCCTCAAAATCGTAAGTATCAACCACTACACCTCTTGTTCACATTTTCTTAAATAGCCACACATTAACGTTTAGGAAAGTTACAAATCGAAACAGCACAACATATATAATACACACGCACTGCTTACCTCCTGTAGTGGTGGATGATGCTACACCTGCATATGCAGATGACAAGAGAAGAGAAAACACAATCAATTTAATCATCTCTTCGCTAGAGTCTTCACTGTGATCATACTTATTTATAGGTTTCTTAATGCATATTTGATTGATCTGTTTGAAAGTTATGATCCGATGCTGATGATCAAGTTTTTTGTATTTCAATTAGTAATTTGTCAACAAAAGTATCAACAACAACAAAATCTGTTGTTCTGTTTTGTTTTTCTTAATCTTGTCATGAATAATATTCAAATTAACTTCGGGTTTTTCATCGCTTTTGACGTGATCTGTATATATGCGTCTTCGGTGCCTACGTGATTTCTTCAGTATTATTACTCATAATGGTTAGTATTTTACAATAAAATATTGGTTACAGGATTTCATCATGAGCTGATATCAGTTAGAGAGCCATTGGAAAACCTGAGAGTACTTGACAGGTGTTTCGTCCTGGTTTGGGAATCTGCATCAGTACTCACTCACTGCGGCTTGAACGCAGGACCTTGTGGTTATTGTTTGCGCTACGTCGTGAATAGGCAAAAGTTGGAATCTATGGACAATTGGGTCGGGTCGAATGATCTACGAGATCTCCTTTTAAATGGCTATCTAACCGATGTCAGCTCATGACGAATCCCTGTAACTAATCAGTCAAATTCCTACAAACCAGTACCTATATAAAATATTGAACAGTGTGGAACAGGATGACTAGAAGGAACAGTCTTAGAATAGAAAGAAGTACGTTTCGTTATTCAGTGTTTGATTCGACACTAATTAGTAACTAGTAACACGTGTTTAGTCACTTGTTTGTTGCAGACTTAATTCTTTCAGTCAGGTTTGCATTGTGGCCACCATGCGGGGTGGCTCACTATCATGGTGCACTTCGAATTGTTCATTATTGGAGGCAATCGTTAGGAGGCCTTACCTGACCTACGTTTCGTCTTTATTGACACTTACTAGTCAGCAAGGCTCATTTGCAAACTTCAAGGAAATCATGTCACCTCTGGAATTCGAACCCGCCTCCCCGAGTGCTGCAGTCAGATACGTCACCGTCGCGACTGACCTTCTGTGAGACTGTATTGGATAATTTAGTTAAAAACCAGTTAGTAAGCAGTGTAATGTGTCTAGTTCTATTCAGTAATTCTGTCAGTGTTCGTTGTAGACTCAATAGTTCATCACCAACTCATTGTTAATTGTGGTGTACTTGACTGACTCCAGTTTAGTTCACTTTTGACTGCTTCTAAAGAGGGTAAATTTTAAGTTTAAAAATTAGCATTCCCTGTCATAATAATGCCTTCCTTAAAGCCCCGATAAACACATCACATTAATCTAGATCCTTATTTAAAAGTGGATAATGTTGAAATGATTGAGAATATTTCAGCCAAGGTGGATGTGTTTGGTATTTTTATGTAATTGAATAAAGCAGGAAGAGTATTTTTTGTAGAATAATATGCTACCATCATTTATTTCTTTGACCTCTCACCAGCTACTGTTTATAGCCCGAATCGATTATTATTATTATTAAGTTCGTCAACAGAAAAGTTTTAACATACTTGCAAATTTTGCAGCTTTTGAGTTGATGGGATGTTCTGCACATAGTGAACAGTGCTCAGAAATATATATCAATAGCGAAGAAAGCTCTCAATTCTCCTCAATTTTGCCAAAGCAATCTATATCAAACGTCTAAAACCTGATTTGTGTGTTCAGAAAGAAGCAGTTATCAGTCTTTCTTTGTTCTGTGAACTGGAGGTCTTTATTTTCTCTCTTTGATTTGATAACATATTTTTCGGCTTTGAACGAACTCCCTTTGAAATGGTGTAGTTTTTCTTGTCTCATGTACTGAATCCAAATCAATTCATGGAAATAAGCGTTGAATTGAATTGAATTGAATTCAGTACACTGTTACCCAATTTATCAGTTGTTTTATCTTTTACAGATTCCACATTGTATTTTTGGTACTAGTATGCAATTTTCAGCATGTGATTCAGGACGACCTCAGTTTTGTGTGTCGGTGGCATAGTGGTTAGGACTCTCGCCAGCCATGCATATGGTCCTGGGTTCGATTTCCGGCCGACGCACTCCTTTACCTCTCTATGCCAGAAATGATGCTGCTAAAGAGGAAAGGTTGGGCATGAGGCCAGCAACCCCATCGTGTAAAATAAACACCACTTCAGATTGCTTCTTGGCCAGTTTGGAAAATAGTATTTTATGGCCTACTATCGACAGTTTCCATCTGTACCTAAGATACATGGATGATACCTTCATCATATGTGACGACAATACTGACGTCGAATTGATAACTAATGAGTTCAACAGCTGCCATCATGCCATCAAATTCACGTCGGAATCAGAGATTAACTCGGAATTCCACTTTTTGGATGTTTTTCTAAAGAGGAGATCTGATGGCTCTCTTCAAAGATCGATCTACAGGAAACCAAGATGGAATGGTCAGTACACAAATTTCCATAGCTGGGTCCCTTTAAGAAGAAAGAGAAATTTGATCCATTCCCTATCCTCAAGAATAAGGAGGATATGTTCAAGTGATACAATCGATGGGGAATTGGAGCGACTCAGACAAGTTCTCTTAGAGAATGGATATCCTCCAAGATGCATCGAGAAAAACATGAAGCTAAGAGAAAAGCCCGAAAGAATTCAGACTGTGCCGAAGAAACTGCTCTTTATGAGTGTTGAATTTAAAGGTGATACTGCAGCTGAGATCTTGAAGAATCGCTTACGCAGATCACTGGGGAAAGCCTTCTTTATGGCTGAGCTACGTATCAATTTCTACAGCCGACAAATGATCAACGGATGTGTAAAGGATAAGCTGCCGCTTTGGGCCACCTCAATGTGCGTTTATAAATTCACATGCTCGTGTGGAGCATGTTATATTGGCC